TGAACTAGAACTGAAATTTTTTTTAGAAAACAGACTAACAAAACTTTGAAAAACTGCAGGGCATTTCAATTTCTATCATTTTCTATATTACTTAATTATTTTTTGTTTTGTTTTGCGTAGATCCAAACATATATCTAACTTTTTGATTAAAAAGGTCCTTTCAATGGATGTGAATTAGTCATGGTCGTTCAGTAAAGGATCTTCGAAGCTCAGTCATAACCACTCCTTAAATGGGCATGTTAATTTCATTCGTTTTCTTTTGATCACTGTTATACTTTTATTTATATATAAATATTGGTCATGTTTAGAGATGACCAAAATATGCAGGTTTTGAAAGTTGATAAAGGTCCTTTCAACGGATGTGAAGAAGTCACAATCTCGTGGTCTCACGCTTAGTTCACATCCAGTGAAAGGGCCTCTGAACCATCTTATCAATTGTTGAATTAAACCACAATTTTCCATTAGGTTTCTTTTGAACTATTTTATTTTACATTTTGGTCTGCGTTGACCCAAACATATTATATTTAGATTCAGAAAAAGAAACGTATGATGTTTATAAAATATTTCCTTTTGTTCTCTATCTGAATAAAAATTGGATTCAGTTGGTTTAAAAGCAAATAAGTAGCATCAAAAGTCCTTTCACTGGATGTGAACTTTATGCTAGCAAAATAATCAACATATCCTTGATTTGTTAAAGGGTAAAGAGAAAAGGTCCAAAAGTGTCAAGTTACGATCTGGTTTCTAATATGAATCAGAACAATGGTAGAAAGGGATTGGTGTGCCTGTGGTGTCTTCACCTTCGTCGCACCACAGGCAGTCCATACTTTAAAATAACGCACACTCTAAATATATATTTTTGAACACGCATAAAAGTCACTACTTACGTTTTCTGTTTTCAATTGAATAGCATTGATGCGTGGATACTGTACAGAATATCCATCCCAAAGACTTTCTTTTTACCCGTTGCGGTAACTATGGTAACTTGACTCTGCTCTATTTTCTGTTTCAGCATGTTATAGTGGCAGGAACACAAGTGAGGAGTTTTAGAATGTTTTTTTCGATTCCTTGTTTGATAAAAAAGAAAAGAAATAAGAAAAAAAGTGGAATAAATTCACAGATTCTWAGCGAGTACACTGAAGTATCATTCTCATAAAACCCATAATTTTATTGATAATCGTTCGTAATAACTGCGTCAAAGTAATTTTTCTAGTAATATTTGACTTTTCTGTTTGATTTCAAGTCGAAATACTAAAGTAAATTTTTTCTTAGTTCCGACACTCCACCTTGGAAAAGTCCGATCCAAGGAGTAAATCCCGGTTGGGATTTTCCACAATTTTAGATTTTGAGGCAAAAAGTAACAAATTCTAAAAGAGGAAACGAAATGGATGTCAAAGGTGTTATTTGTTTTGTTTTGGTCGTAAAGGAAATGGATTTAAGAGCATCACAAGTATGGACCCGCAAGCCACTTCTATACGCTCATACAACCCACCCATCTCTCCAAGGTACTAGGTACTACGATTGGTCTTTCTGAGGCCAAACTCTTGGCGCTAGCTTACTATGCAGATTGAAAGGGTGTCCCGTTATCCGCAAAACCAGACCAAACATACTAAAATGCAATGCGATCTTCGTATTAACCGTGTTGTGACTTTGATTCGCAGGGAGTATCGATAAAATGATAAGAATTATCCAAACGCGGTTTCTACATATGATATATGGATCAATCGTAACATTTTGTTACTTGTTATTTGCGGCGCGGTATCGTCGAATCCCACACGATATCCAGTTAACCCTAGCTATTGTCCTTTAAGATAACTAAACGGCACGTCCTTAAATAGACTAGAGTAATTCCTGACTTACTCAGTTTTCCGTGTGTTTTCAATGGATGT